CGTATGTGAGCGAGCAATTGGGAGTGGTAGAGTGGGAGCCTGAAAACGAAGGAACATGGCAGCGTAGCAGAACGGGATCGAGGGATGGAAGCGAGTAAACTTTATGAAGCTAGTGTAAAAGAGAAAAAAAAATGAATAAACACATCTCTGTACAGACCACTTCATTCGCACCAGCTCTCGGGTCAGAGGATGAAACAGGAGTTCTTCACGGCCGCAATCCAGCATACACTATGAAAAAACAAGGACATGAAGTAAATTAAACTTATAGACAAGGTAGGTTTTATTTTAAAGCAACTCTTGCTGCCTAAACATTGAAAACTACTTGGATGTATTTATTCTCAAAATACTTGATGGAAACAAATTTTGTCATTAATTTAATGATTGTTCTCGAGGGAAAAGGTTAAGTTTGTATCCCTCGTATCTTCAAATCGAATTTGAGGAGTTTTACTTTTAATGGGGTTAGAAATTTCTTCGCTGGAAGAGTTCACGAAACGAGCGTGAATTTGCTTGAGAGAGAAGAAAGAAAAAAAAAATTAAAAATCGGCAGGCTTCGGTCACGCTGTGTTCACGCTACAACGTTGTCGAGTACCCTCTGACGTCACAGTTTTCGCAATGCTGAGGGTTTAAACCCACTCAAAGACATTTGCCTGGAAACAGTTTCATTGAAGGATGTCATGTGACCATCTGAACTAGCCAGTGAATGCGCGACACGAGTCTTAGCAGGGGAAAAGAAGAGCAACAACATTCAACGTTTATCATACAAACCTGACCTTTAATCCACAGTATCTTTGTTGGTTGTCATCTATATCCTCCCCGGGTTTAGCATAAAGGAAACTAAAATCGTACGTGATCTAGTAAAACAAGACAAGAACTGATGACCTGAAAGAGCTGAAGAGGTGAGGAGGTGAAATATTCTTTCTAAGAAAGGTTATAATTATCACAGCTAGCGTTCTAATATTCTTCTAAGAACTTTTTACACAAGAACTTTTTAGACTTTGAAACTGATAATTAAAATTTTTACGGTTCTTCAGCTACAACCTTCTTGATTATAAAATGACTTGATACGTTCTCTAACCATAAGAAAAGAATATGCTGCTTTTCAACCAATAGAGAGGAGAAAAAGCAACGTTAACCTATAATTTTAGGCGCGTGCTTGCCATGACTTACATGTTTCTGAGTTCTACTATGAGATACTTGTCAGCTATCAAATGGCTTGTTGCGGGTGATCAAAGACAGTTCATGCAGAGGCTAAGTTCAGGCTTCCAGAACGGGTCAAATTCGCGACAACCCAAATAGCCTAATGACCCCATAAAAACACGCCTCTTCTCTTCTCTTAATTCGTGCACGAAATTTATTAAGGTTGCCAGCTCTGGCCAATACCCCGAACTGCAATCCTGGCCAGAAGTCTTTGGGACACTAAGCTTATGCGGTGGGCTAAAACATAAGTGTCTTTCTACTCTTGCTAGGAGGTGACTTTTAAGAGTTTTGTTTAGTTATTACTACCTCCCCTTCTCCCCTCCAGACAATGTTGACTTGGGGATAGAATTCTTGAAATATGGACAACATTGTAAGGAGCGGGGGGAAGGATATATGCATGCTTTTCTCTCTTAGATGAGCTGTACGACCACTAGAAAAGAAAGTAGTGTCCCAAGACTTTTGACCAGGATTGTCAGTTACATCAGAGACACAAGTAGGTCTCAGGTCCCAAGTCTACATTTAATTACGTTGACTGGTACTCACTGAATAATTAGGATCTGTGTCGAGGTGGGATGATGGCTCAATGCATTTGTCCAAGACAAGCTGAAAGAAACAATATTAAACAACAAACCTCTTAGAAACGGCCAAAAAAATCTACAAATTATGACAAAAACAGGGAGAGCATAAATATCAAGGCTGTTTTCCAGTGCTGTAGTTAATCTTTTGTTCGCTGAAAGGTTACGATAGCAATACTTGAAGAAACTTCATATGCATAAAAAAAATTAATCTTGAAACTTTTGGCCCAAATTTTTCAAGTTCGTCGTTTGTAATCCGTGTCAATCGTCTCCATCCTTCACCATCCTTGTTCCGTTATGGCTTATTTCTGTATCTTTGGTGCCTTTCTAACTTAGTAAACTACTATTTTCAGGTTTTCTTCAATTCAAAGGTAATTTTGTATGCGGCCAAAATAACTCAAAATACTGTGACTGAACTCTTATAAGTAAATACAAACTCTGATTTAGATAAGATTTCAAAATTTTCTTTTAGTTAGGCTGAAGGAAGACTCTGTAAACAAATTAGCTCACAAACTTAGCTATTATTAACAGGTAAAACTTAAGTGATTGTGACAATGCATAACATGTTTGATGCCCGAAAATTAAGCGGATACCTAACTCATAACAAACCTACCTTGGCAACTTTTGGAAAACGTTCAATGAGTCTTCGCATGGGGGTAACACCCTCACATTTATTATTGATCAAAAGTTCTCGCCATCTGAGAACAAAAAATACATACAATCAGGATCCAGGATAGCGTGTGTTAGGAAATCATGACATTATCCCACACCATTTGACCTAGCAGCTTGTGATTTCAGCCTGAAAAAAATTTCTAGACACTATGGAAGACCGCAGCAAAGAAAAAATTATAACTGATGAAGCAGTGTTAATGAAAAGGTAAAGACTGAAGCCATATTCATAGTTAAATTCTCTTCCTAGATATTTAGGGTGTTTATAATGACTATAAACAACAAAACCGAAAAAAAAAATGACTGAGACAAGTGCCTCTGCTTGCCTGTTACTTACTACGGTCCTGCTCTGCAAGGTTAATCGGAGGGTTGCGGAAGTTGAGAGGTGGAAAATTCTCAGAAGGTGCAAGGGTTTGTTTGTTTGTGAGAGAGTGGGATTTAATAGAATCTTCAGCAATTTTTGCGAGGCTTAAGCAAACCTTTGGACATGGAAAAATGTTTCTCAAACTCACTAATAATTCATCAAGTTTAAACAAAGGAAATCATGACCGTGACGGTGTTTGGATATCTGATCTTAGGTTTTTACGACTTTATTTCTCCGTTTTTTCCTTGGTTTTAGTTTAGATTGAGAAGATATATCAATCGCTCAAAACAGCGTTTAACCACATTTCCAAACACCTCGAGGTTATTCAAAAATACTACGCTGCGCGTCGTATTTTCAACTCTCCTCGCGATGTTTGGAAATGTGGTCAAACACGGCTTTTCTTGTTTGATATGTTACTTGAACGCTATCAAAAATTGATCAGAAACATTCTTTGATCAAACGTTCGTTGAGCGTGGAAAACTTCGTGCGAAGCTATCAGCATATAGCACATTCTTTTCTTGTCGCATAAAATAGCTATTAGTTTAAAGCAATCTACCCATTCTTACCTTTCGTGTTTGATAATCTCCAAACAATTCTCCAAATGCCCAGCTTTTATTGCTGCATCCAAGCAGTTGTATCCACTTGTTGAGACTATCGTTAGATCTGCTCCACATGAAATCAGCTTTCGAAGAGCGCATGTGTTTCCAAAATAAGCCGCCTTAACCGCAGCAGGTTTCTGAAAAGAAAAGCAGTTGAGGATGATATTATGAGTAATAAAAATATGCCAAAATTAAACATTCAAATGGTGTTAAACAATCAAATGTTTTGTGCTTTAACCGTGGACTTGAAAGTACTCACAAACTAAAAAAAGATGTTGAAATATAGCCTGAACTGTCCATCATCTCCCGCCCTCAGCCTAATTCCCGGGATATTTCAAGCTAGCTGAAATAAAACTTTTGGTCAAATGTGAGCGTGGATTCAGAGGCATTTAATTGTTTGAAAATTTAAGGTGTCTCTGAAGCTACTCCATTACCTTTAACCAGAAATTGTGTATGGAATGCTAATTGCCGTCCGATGATAAGAAATAGAGGTCACTGAACTATATTTTGAGTTATAAGCACTTAGAGTGAACAGGTCATAACGTTACCATCGCAATATTTAACGTCATAACTTGTTCACCAATGTTTGAGCATTTGTTTGATTCCAAATTAGACTAAGAATAGTCCCTCTTTCGCTTTGCTCTCGCGGTTTTCTTTCGCCTCACGCACGACGGACTAAGCGAAAGAGGTTTTACTCGTAGTCGTTTGTAGCATCAACTTAAAACAGAAGCATCTCACCTATCTATGCTTCTGCTTAAAAGCAATGGCAGTGGTGATAACTGTTGCAATTCTCCTTAATTAAAACATCGCCAAAGAAAATCGTCAACAAGCTGAGTGGATATTTTCTCCAAATTTTCAATTAACAGATCGAAAACTGATTATTGTACGGATAGATTAAATTAAGCATCTTCCTCGAATACCCTTGTGGTAGAGGACAGGGTTGTGCTTTAGTATTTTAATTAGTTATGGCTACAGTAGAACTCTACTCACTCGATTTTTGTCAAGACTATTGATATCCGCTCCGTAATGAAGCAGAGTGTCTATTGTCAAAGGGCAACCACGAATTGCTGCGTGGAATAACGGTGTAAGGCGATCGTCATCTCTATGAAAGACAGGAAAAAGACGAACTCAAGTGGATGTAACTTCTCGAGAGAAGACACTTAATAATGCCCCATTCACACCAACTAAAATAGTTTAACTAAATCAGATTTAGGATTTTCCAATTTGTCGATTAAGCTTTGCAGTCATTTTGAGAAGACAAGTGTAATTTCAAACCACCTTGCTAACATGTTTTAATCATAGAGATATTTACATAGTTAAGTTGTGGAGTCTGTACGGTATGAGCGACTGATTTTTAACCTTTTTAAGTTAAACCACTTTAAAATATGTTCAACATGTTGGTGTGAACGGGGTTTTAGTTTCAGACGTTTCAGAGTGCTCGTGGAAAGCATGTCTGCTCCAGATGTGCCAAGTACTGGAAAATAGGTGCCAAGAAAAAAAAGCAGGTCCCCAAATAGACCTAAGAAGGTCAATGACACACTTTCTGGGAGGTTTATGTTAGTGCCAAATTAGTCAAAACGCTCCTCAAGGAAATCTTGCGCCTCTCGCCGTTTACGGAAGGTGAACAAAATGGCAAATTATGCAGACAATGGCCTCTTAAAAGCATTGACATTATGAATCGTGCAAGAAAGAAAAAACAGAAAGACAGAGGAGAGGGTACTAAATACGGAAAATGCATCCTGAATTGATCATAAAGCCGGAACATGCGTGCGTGTGGGAGTAATTTCAAATATTTTAAGGGTTCAGTTACCTGTAGTCAACTTCAGCGCCATGCTGCAATAAATGTGTTGCCACTTCTACCCATCCGTTTGAGGCTGCGCAATGCAGAGGGGTGCGAGATCCATAATCAATGTCATTAACAGATTCTGGGCATGCGCTGAGAAGCGATCTCACCACATCGACGAAGCCACCTCTGAAAAGTGGAAAAGAACACGTGTTATTCCACACTGTGAGGCGCCGTCCACACTACGCCGAGAAATTTGAAAACGTAGCTGAATTCCTACGATCAGGCCTACCGTCCACACTAATCCGGCACGAAAACGGAGATTTTCGAAAACGCTCTTCAAACCGGAG